GCTGACTATCAGTACCCATCATCAGTGCTGCCTATCCGTGCCACCTCATTAGTGCTGCCTATCAGTGCAGCCTCATCAACGCACATCAGTGAAGAAGAAAAATTACCTGTTTGCAAAATTTTATAATAGAAACCTTTTTTTAAAAAAAATTTTTTGCTCTTTTTTTTGTTTATAGCGCAAAAAGTAAAACACCCAGCAGCGATTAAATACCACCAAAATAAAGCTCTATTTGTGAGAAAAAAATGCTAAAAATGTGATATGGGTACAATGTTGCATGACTGCGCAATTGTCATTCAAAGTGCGACAGCACTGAAAGCTGAAAATTGGCCTGGGCACGAAGGGGGTATAAGTGCCCGGTAGGCAAGTGGTTAATCAGCCACAGAACCTGTGTAATCAATATGTATTCAGTTTTAAAGGGATGAGGTGACAACCCTAATGCTGTGTCTTGCGGTGTGCAAAACACTACGATGCGGCTGTAAATATCTGCGATTCAGGAAGGAATGAGGTGGAAACCCTACACAACATTTTCATTTTTAGCAGCAATGGCCCCATTGATTCCTATAGTGCTGTTTTGATATATAGAAAATGATATGCTTTCCGTATCTATACATTGCATTTTAGACACCCGTGTGACCACCTCATCGCTTTAAAACTGAACACATATTCATTGCACAGGTTCTCTAGGGCTAATATAATGCAGATATATTTAATTACTGCCTTAATCAGCCACAGAAGCTGTGCAAGGCATAGGTGTTCGGTTTTAAAGTGATGAGGTGGCAACCCTGCCGTGTGAATGAGCCCCAAATGCATGTGGACGCATGTCTTTTGATCCTGGCATGTAAGGGGCTTGAAGTTTGACATTGTACGTTGACTTATGGATGAATGTAATAATATGAGTTTCAGAGACATGGCTGCTCTCCTTCACACAAAGAGAGCGGGATTTCCAGCCCCATTCCACTTCCCTCCTCGTGAGCTCTCCACCTATCACATTCCACAGTGTTACCAAACAATGGAGCTACAACAACGCCCCGCCTATTCCGCCTTCTCCCGCACAGGCCACGCCCGCTGCTGACGCCGGCGCCCGCTATTGGCCGCTTTCTGAGTTTCTGGCCTGGATGTTCCCGGGTTCTTATATGGCTGCGGACAAGTTGGGTCTATTGTGAGCTGTATTGTGGACGGTGGTGAGCTATATTCTGAGAAAACATGGTGAGTGTGCGGGGATGGGGGCATTATACGTGCGCCTCTGATACTGCAGACGTGTATGTTCGCGATGTATAGTGATGTACATTCACGGGGCTGGGGGGAGCACCGAGGCGGACTAACGCTTCCTGATTCAGGCTACAGCACGTGGTTTCCCGGGTCAGAGCCTGCGGCTGGGGGGGAATGTATGGTCTACTGTAGTCTGTATTGGTGGGGGTGCGGATGATGAAGCAGATGGGTGATTAGGGATGATGGACTGCTATGAGATTGGATGTGATCGGGGCCAAAACGATGATCATTGAGATCTGTATGATGGAAGCATGCAACAAAATCCAGCCCACTCCCCGGATGGCAGCACAAAGCCCAGTGTTTCTGGGTCACAATGCCTTCTATTGCATGCTTGCTAAGCTGGGGAGTGGGCTGGATGGATGAGGGTGATTTTTGTTTTCTTTCTTCTGTTTCTATCGGTTTAGTGTTTTTGCTTTGCTTTTCCCCCCTTTTTTCTACTACCCATATGGCCTTTTGCTAGTTATACACTGAGCAGAGAACCTTCCATTTTTGCTTTTGGTGTCCAAGAAAAGCAAGTGTGAAAGTTGAGAACTTCACATACCAAATAGTAGTTTTTTTTTTCTTTTTTGAGGGTTGGGTTTGCCTGGTGGTGCGTGTGTGGGTTTTTTTTTTTTTTTTTTTGAGGGGAGGGGGTGTTTGTGTGTGGTTTTGTCTTTTTTTTTTTTTTTTTTTAGGGTTTGTTTTTCTGTTTCCATTGTAGGTTTTTTTTTTTTTTCTCTTTGGTCAACTTCTGTCTAAAGTAGCCTTTCTTAACCTCTTTAGTCCTCATGCACACTGCCAGTAGTGTTAGCTGTATAAAGTCACTGTAAAAAAAAAAAAACGTTCCGCCTTTTTTTTTTTTTTTTTTTTTTTTGCATTAGCAGTTAGCCATGTTTTTCAGCATTTTGTAGTTTTTACACAGAACAAACTTTTTGACCAAACAAAAATGCTGTTTTTTTTCAGCAGTAGATTTATTTTTTTTAATAGCTGAATTCCTCATGAGTCCTAATAGTTTTAAGGGTTTTTTTTTCCATCCAAAAAACACCCCTGCCAAAAACTGCTGATTAAAGCCTATGTGTGTATAGGCCCATAGGATAACATGCTGGGGAGTTTATTGGCTGTAGAAAAAAAAACGTCAATGGCAGCAGCTCTAAAAAAAAAAAAAAAAAAAAAGAAAGTCCAGTGCCCAAGAGGAACCCTTGAAATAACTTTCCAGTCTTGGGGAACCCCTGATGAAAAAATGACAATATCTACAACTCGTGATGCATTATGCTTAGAACACATGATCAGATAAATTGGGCGACTTATCATTCATTTTTTTTTTTTTTTTTTTTGTTGCATGTTGGCCTCATGTCAAAAAATGAAGTTTACTAAAGTTATGAAATTTCTCATATGACCAAATACAACTTTGAAAGTGATGTATTGAAATGTATTCTTGCAATGCTTGATCTTGGTCTCTCGGGTTGGTTTTGTTTTGTTTTTTTACGAATATTCTACTGATTAAATGAAAATCGTTCACACTGTTATCGAACGAGAATTTTTTTTTTTTTTTCGGATATTGACGCATTAATTTAACAGCGCACACTATCCTTCACAGATCTTCATATATTCTTACCATAATTTTCCCAATAAGAATGCATTGTATATCATATGATCTTTTCTATCTGTCCTCTTGATCATCTACTTGTCTTCTCCCAATCTCCAAAGCAAAAAAAAAAAACTGATATAGTGTAGTAATGCCACACAGAATTATATGTGATACACCCGTTCGTGTAAATACAGGACATTTTGTGAATGGTATCCACCACTATCCTCACTAGTTACTCTTGCCCTCATATGGTAAAAATGTGCATAAAACCCCATCCGCATGGCTTATCCTCGACATACACCATCCACCTTCAATTTGCAAATCAATCCCTTCCCCTTTAGGCATGCACCTTACCCTGCATACATCAATATGTGCCTTCAGTACTTGGTGTAAATCTTCACTCTGTTTTCTCCTTACCTGTTCTTCATAAACTCTCAATCGCCATAAGTAAACATACCAGCCCATAGTGCAGCAGTAATATAAAATGACCAATTTATTGTTAAAATTGCGCTTATATGAAAGGAAAGTACAATCAACCTGTATCCAAATGGCCACTGCGGCACTTCCGGTTAAATCTGATGTCACTTCCTTCTGACGCGGTTTGTCATCAAATTGCCTTCCTCCATAGGCAGTAGACGAGATTGCCGTACAATTCCTCCAAAAAAACGATTTTTGTAATTCGCTTTTCTGACCTTGTGTACTGGGCAGTAGTGTGTGATGTTCAGTGGAAAGAATGCTTCTTATACTTGGCACTGGGAAGAATTCTCCCCTTATGGCCTGTACACACGATAAGAAAATCGAATTAATTTCTGTACAAAGAACAATCAATCCAATATCTAATTTTTAGCATCGTACTTCCGGCAGCTGATTCCAACTTTTCAGGATGACAAAAGCCAATGGTGCTTCTTTAATGCAAAATCAGACGTGTTCACATACGATAAATGTGTACAGGTCTTGTAGGTAAATAATTGAATAGAAAAAAAAATGCGCTTGAGCAGAAGCATAGAACAACCCTACACTTCTTTTCTATGCAAGTGCATAGCTACGTTTGCCTTAGTCATATGAGAATTTTCTTACAAGTCAATACTGCCCAGGCTACATCATGGAAAATCGCATGATAGGTTGTCTGATCTTCTCATTCATAGTGTGTACTAGGCTTTACAGATAGCTAAAATGATCAGTGGTGTCAGTGGGATCCTACTTAAGTGGTAGAAATTGCTGAAGGACTCCCTAGCCAGCTATGTCGGAACCCTAGGGTTTCATGAAGCCCTGGTCTAGACCTATTTTGTGTCGTTGGTTAGAAGTCTTGGGTTATATAGTGGGGTGGGGGGAAAGTGGAGACCAAGCACACACTATGGGATTGTACACATGTGGTGACATAACGTGCAGTTTCCTACCTTCCAGAGTCTCCAAAATGCCTAAATGCATGATATGCTATAAAGTATTATACAGGATTTATGTAGTGTCGTCAGTTTGCACAGCACTTTACAAAGTGGAGGGAGACAGTAGTTTCAATACATGTATACCTACTAACAGTGATACACTCTTTAATATAAATTACCAATGTAGACTCAGTGCATATAAACAACAAAGCTCATACATTACACAATCATCCTAAATCATGCAGAAAAAGTAAAAAAAATAAATTAAAACACTCCCATACATCAATCAAAAAAAGTGATATCAATCCCATATATCACTGAAGTAGATGAAACCATCCAATTAGATCACGGGTGTCAAATTGGCGGCCCTCCAGCTGTTGCCAAACTACAAGCCCCATGAGGCATTGCAAGATTGACAGTTACAAGCATGACTCCCAAAGGCAGAGGCATGATGGGACTTGTAGTTTCACAACAGCGGGTGGGCCGCCAGTTTGACACCCCTGAATTGGATTGTAAGTGTCCAGTAAAAAAACAGTTACAATACAAGAGGACAGAGGGCCCAGCTCACTAGAGCTTGCAATCCAATCCAACCAAAGTACTGTTGTGGTTTTGTTTTTCTTCCCCCCTGCTTATCTGTTTATTACAAAGAGGCACATAAACTAGGGACAGGAAAACAAATGGTTTTGGGCAACAAAAGTGATAAGTTTTCCTGCATAGGTGCAAATATAAAAAATATTGAACTGCTTGTGTTATGACTAACGCTGTATTGTCTGTCCTTTTGCAGGCTGGTGGTAAAGCTGGTAAAGACTCTGGCAAGGCCAAGGCGGCCTCTGTTTCCCGTTCTGCTAAAGCTGGTTTACAGGTGAGGAAAACCGAACTTGTGTTCTGTTGTGGGCTGAATTATTTTGTGCATAGGGCACGGCTGGATTTTCATCTCTAAAAATTTGAAGGCACATGATTTATGGTGATATAAGTGATTTCCCTCTGCTATTGTCCCCTCTTTTGCAAAAATCCTTTTCCTTATTTTCCTGGCCTCAACCTGCCCTAGTAGGTTACAATATAATGTTGGCTTCTTTAAAGAGTACTTTTGTTTAAATTCCATACCTATAGGCCATTTATAGCACAGTATGCCCAAAACTTTCAATTGTCAGGGTTCCCCTGTTCTGCCAAATATCTAGGACACGTTTTTTCTTGCACGTGTTTTTTTGTTTTTTGTTTGATTTTCCAGCACATATATCAATGATGTAAATAGTTGTTCTGTCCTGTGTCTTATTGTTTTTAGTGTCCAATTGCATAAACCTCTATGATTTGGTCTCTATTTAACGCTTTAAATCTTCAGTTTCCAGTTGGTCGTATCGTATCATCGTATTATGAAGAACCGAACAACCAGTCATGGACGTGTGGGTGGAACTGCTGCAGTGTACACAGCAGCCATTTTGGAATATCTTACTGCTGAGGTATAATGACAAATATTCTACCTTACAGCACACTTTAAAAAGTCATTAAAGTTCTCCTACATCTGATGGGTTCAATTAAAAATATTTAATGGGCCACTGTCTTTTTTACATCTGAAGCCCTGCCAATTTGGACGGTTTAAAAAAAAAAAAAAAAAAAAACCCACAAATTGCAGGCAGTTAAGAGAAAGGTATGGGGACATAGACTGTTGTCTTAAAAAATCTTTTTGGGGCATCTAGTTTGCTATTTGCGTTTGTGCAATTTTGTTAATCGTGGCACAACGCAAGTATGCATATTTCCTACCCGCTGGGGAAGCAGAAAATCACAGTAGTAGTTGGCTCTACTGCAGTGATGGCTGTAGTCCTGTTCTGGTTCTGTACCAGTGGCTCACCCATGCACCATAACCACAGGGCGCTGCTAGCTTGGCACGGTTTGTGGAACACCTTGTGTTTTTTGGGGTGTGTGGTTTTTTTGTTTTTTTGGGGTTTTTTTTTTTTGTGTGTGTGGCCATTGTGTCAATGGGAAGCCTATGGCAGGACATGGAAGGTTGCAGCTATCGCTGTAGTAGCACCAACTGTGATTTTTGCTTTCCCCAGCTGTCCCTCGGGTATGAGTTATGCATAGTTACATTGTGCCATATTGGACCAGTATAAGTATGAAATCAAAATAATTTCTAGTGGGTTTTTTTGGCTTTAAAAGATGTGCAAAAAATTGAGGAGCAGAGCATAGTTACAGCAAATATTTGGTCCATGATGACTAGCCCACTGCGCAATCTTAGTTCACATGAACTATATGGTAGAAAAATGTGCTATATGAAAGTCTGAGACCAGGATTTAAAAAACAAAAACTGCACACTCTACAAGTCTAAGTGAAATGTTGTGTTGCTGAGAGCCTTGTTTATTTGACTTGTATACATTTAAAATGCCTGCTTTTCAGGTGCATGTATTGCAACCCCCTGTCCTGTAAAATCTTTCTCTGTTTGCATTGAAAAGCTGTAGTGGGACTAAGGACTGAGATCTGTTTTGTTTTTTTTGTTTTTCTTCCAAGGTGCTTGAGTTGGCAGGGAATGCTTCTAAAGATCTCAAAGTGAAACGTATAACACCACGTCACTTGCAACTTGCCATCCGAGGTGATGAAGAATTGGATGCCCTCATTAAGGCCACAATTGCTGGTGGTGGTAAGTATATTGAATGAATTGGCTGAATTTTTTTTTTTTTTTTTTTTTTTTTTTTTTTTTTTTTCTATGTAGTCAGAATTATGTGGAACATTTTAAGCGATACGAGTAGAAGGAAAGTGAATCTTATCTTGTCGTCCAGTTTGTAGCTGCCTTAATTTTAGTCCAGGCTTGAAAGAGACAGACAGGAGAAGCTTGCTATAGTGGGAAACATTCCACTTTGTTACCTTCTCATTGCTAATCAGTAATGTTATGTAATTGGTGTAATGCACTATGCATTGTTTTAGAAGTTGGTTCCTTTTGTTCAGGCATTGGGCTCAAAGAGAACCTTAACCCTTTCACTGCCAGAGATGCTTTTGAATTTTCTGCACACGTTTTAAATAATAATTTTAGACCTGAAGATTGCACAAACCCTCAAACATTCTATAACGTCTGTAAGCAGACACCCTAGAGAGCAAAAAAGTGGTAGTTCCAATTTTTTATATCACACAATAATACCGCAAAGGTCTAGGAAATGCAAAAATCTAGTACAAAAAAAATACACTAAAGGTAATTTTGAGGCACACAAATGCAATAAATTACCCCTGGGTGTAACGTGTGTGGTGTGGGTTTTTTTTTTTCTCCCCCAATGACAGTGGCGGGGATCTTCTACCCATGCCTGCTGTCGTGATTTGAAAACAGCACCACAGGGCTCCACCCACATGGCCACATCACTGAATGAATGTGTACAAGTAATGCCAGCTATTAAACTGACAGCTTATAGTTTGCAATGAACTGCGAGGCTGCTGTTGAGGGTTCTTGTAGTTCTCTATGCTGAGAGTCTGCAGGAGCCTGAGATTGCACCCATGATCTGCTGAGCGCAATGCTCTACGGGCTTCTTTATTTTCTAATTTTCAAAAGGTGAAGTTTCCTACGGTGCGAGTTTTGGGGATGTCCTTTTTACAAAAGTTACTGACCTGTATGCAGCCATTCCATCTTGCCAATTTTGTGGTTCACTGACTTACTAAATTGCATATCTCAGTGGTATTCATAAGATATAAAAATATTAATTGTCAGGTTGCAGTAGTACAGAAAACATTTTTTCATGTAGCGGTTTTCAAGTTGTTTTTTATTTTCATTAAGTAATATGGAGGCTCATATTCTCTGGCTATTTTGTACAAAAGCTGTTAACTTTTTTTTTATTTCCCCTCCCCCTTTTGCAGGTGTTATTCCTCACATTCACAAGTCTCTGATTGGAAAGAAAGAACAACAAAAAGCCGTATAAGTAATTCTTCACTCAGAATGGGACACTGGCTCAACATCGAACTTTGTATTGCTGCTTATCAGTGTTACAGTAACCAGGTCTCTGGAATGGGATTGTAATCACTCTTCCAGTTTCAGCTTCAAAGAAGGCAGTCTTGAGTGAACACTGATGTTGGTTTTAACTTTTTTTTTTTTTCTTAGAAAAAGATGTGTATTCTTTTTATACCAGTCAAACGGAAATGATTCTATTACTTGAAGATATGTTAAATAAATCATTTTTGGTGACATAAAATTGACTGACTGTTTTAAAATGTAGATGGTTATCTTTTAATGGGAACGGTGAGGGTTTTTTAGTTTCATTCCTAAAAAGCTAGGAACCTTGTACTAATGCTGCATGCCTCCTGTTGAGTTTCACACAAGCTTTATGTCTAGTTTTTAAATGCTCACACTTCTGGGGCTTCGGTGTCCTCCCATATATCACTGACAAATTACATATTTACATGACCCAGTTGTAATCTTTGCTGTCCAATACCACACAGCCTCTTTTACTGTTGGTTTGTGCACAGCGAGTACAAACTTGCATTTGTGAAAGTGTAAGAAGCAGGATCCAACAGTGAAAATCTTGGTAATAAAGGCTCCAATTTTTATTTATATTTTTTTTTAACCACTTGCCAACTGTGCTATAGCTGAATGATGGCTACAGCGTGGTTGCACACTTCTGGGAGGGTGTCATATGATGCCCTCCCGTGTGCACTCGTCAATCAACTGTGTCCAATGACACAGCAGATCTGAGTAAATACAGTTATCGGCTGCACTTTCCTCACGCTGTCACAGCGTGAGGAAAGTACTGCCGATAACCGGCAAATGAAACCGGACATCTGTACTGATCATTGCTGCCTATCTGCCACCTCATCAGTGCATCCTAAACACACATCAGTGAAGGAGAAAAATTACCTGTTTGCAAAATTTTTATAATAGAAACAAAAAGTTTTTTGTTTTATAGTGCAAAAAATAAAACACCCAGTGGCGATTTAAATACCAGCAAAAGAGAGCTCTATTTGTGTGTGTGTGGGGGGAAAAAAAATGATAAATTTCATATGAGTACAATGTTACAAGACTGTGCAATTGTCATTCAAAGTGCAACAGCGCTGAAAATTGGCCTGGGCACAAAGGGGGTAAAAGTTCCCAAGTAGGCTAGTGGTTAAATAACATTTGTTATACTCACCTGCTCTGTGCAGAGCAGCCCTGATCCTCCTGTTCTTGGGTCCCCCGCTGTCAATCCTGGCTCCTCTCCAGCATACCCCCACTGCCAATGGTTCCCACTTCTGTGTCTTGGCCAATAAGGAGGCAGAGAGCTGGGACAGCAACAGCTCTTCTGCATATTGCTGGATCGGGCTTGGGTATATATTTAGGGGGATCTGCATACCTTCATGCATGAAAAAGAAAAGGAGGGAAAAAAACTTCAGCCTTTACAACGCCCAGTAGGCCACACAGGGTCTCGGAGCAAGGATATGTGAATGTAATTTCTCAGAGGTTATGTAGGATTGGGCTATCACTATGAGTGGACTTGCATTTTCAAGCCATATATATTATACATGTTAAGTGGAGGAGAGGGGGAAAAAAGAAGAAAAAGGACCCAACCCATGGGATAATCCTGTAGGTTGCCTTCTATGTAGATAACTGGATTTCCCAGACTTGTAACTCTGAGTTCTTGGATGTTGTATTTAACACTTGCCTTGTAACACGTGTGATGCAGCCTCAGGCACAGTGTGAGTAGTTAGTTGAAGGAAGGAGCTGGAACTCTTGTCTTTCTTCAAGTGATCACTGTGGCAGAATAAAACAAATAGGGGAGTGAATGCTTCTACAGAGAGGGTCACACCAAGGTTTGAGTGAAAAAAATGTGTATGTAATCAATCCAGCACTGCATCCTGCTGTATGTAGGCAGCACTGCAGATCTGCCCACAGCCATGGGGTCATCTTTGCTGATACAGCTGAGAATTCTTCCCCCAGCACAGAGGGGTTCTGTGTGTGTGTGTGTATGTATATATTTTCCCCTTTACATCTGCAATGGAAAGTGAAGCTGCTCTCAATTCCTCATCACACGCTCTCCCCCTTCCTTCCAGCAATGTCAAGTGAACACTGCAGCAGAGGACATTGACATAAGCCGGTAATGGATGCTGCGGCATAAAGGGTCACATAGACATTTGGGTGAGGGGGGCAGGGTTGGGCTGGGTTGGGGGTGTGTTCCATTGCGTGTGTGACTGGTTCTGCACTGCATTCCTTTGTACAGAGACTGGAAAAAGGAGTGGCAGGCCATAGAGAATTCCTGCAGCTCTGAAAGCAACTTTCTAACACAGACCTGCAAACCTGTTACTGAATTCATAATGATTGTCCTTGCATAACAAACAGGCCAACCCAGCTCCTCTCCTAGCTGGACACTCCTAGGAGATGAGCTGATGAAACCCTAGGCCCGATGGTTCCTGGGGGGGGGGGGGGTGGTGACCTGTCCCCCTATAAGGGTATATGCTGTGCTGGATGTTACATACTTGGGACAGCCACCTTCCATACCCTGCACTGTAGGTTACATGTGAAGCAGCACAATTCAAATGTACTATATGTTACATATTTGGGACAGCCACATTCCATACCCTGCACTGTTACATGTTGTGGATCAGCACAATCATATGCTGTACTGTATGTTATATACTCGGGACAACCACATTCCATACCCTGTACTGTATGTTACATGTGAATCAGCGCAATCCATGTTGTACTGTATGTTACATACTCGGGGCAGCCACATTCCATACCCTGCACAGTATGTTGCATGCTGTGGATCAGCACACTCCATAGGCTGTGCTGTACATTACATGCCGTGGACCAATACATGCGATAGTACAGTGTATTTTACATGATGTGTATCATACACTGTATGTACTGTGGATCAGCACTCTCCACATTCTGCTCTCTACATTACTTTCTATTGACTGCTATACTCTGCACTGTACACTGCATACTCTAGGCCTCCAAGCCATACACTGTATTTTACATGCTCCACATTTTACATTGTGTATCATAACCCAATCCACCCTATACAATGTGTAGCGCTCACCACCCCCCCCCCCCAAGTAGCTGCTACAATATTGCCCTGGTTCTTTCCCAAGTAGTGCAGAGGCAGCCAGGCACACACAGCAACAGTCACATTTGGCTCATCGTGGTATCTTTTTGTGGTTTTAATTTAGGTAACTTGGATAGGGCGTAGGGTAATATGGGATACTGCAGAACTAATGTATTATTTATATATATAAAATAGATAATATATAATAATATATAAATAGGTATAAAATAGGAGGATACTCTTCACTATAGCTGAACTTCAGAAAACAAATATCTTCTGCCAGACTCAAAATCCACTGTGAAAGATTAAAAACTAAAATATTTTCCCATGTAATGGGGCTGTGCCAGCACTGCATGGATTAACGTCTTGTTTTGTCCAGGTGCGCAAGAAAAAGCTATAATTACTCGATCCGCTGGAAAAGCACGCTCCCCTATGTCCAGTGATGGACTGTTCTTGCTGTCCTCACATCTATGGGTGCGATTACATCAGGAACAGACCATTCACAAAACTGCTAGCGCTTGGTGGTGGAGAGGGGGCAGGAGCAGCAGGGACTGATTTTGCACTCGGAGGATTGGTTGATTAGGTAAGTATATCTTGGTTCTCTGCACTCCAAGACAAAAACAAGCAGTTAACCCATGCAGTGCAGGCACAACCCCACTGCATGGGAAAATATTTTTTTTTTTTCCCGGAATTCTTTAAAAGAACAGTTTTCCCACAATGACACTGAAAAGGCCTGGCTGTATAGGTATCTTAGAAGAGAGACTACTTAGCCCAAGCTTAGCAAACTAGAGGGGGCTGGTTGGCATGTACCACTCAGGAGAGGAACTACAGATCGCAGCAATCCCAATAGTGCACAGTCCCAAGAGTTGGAGCCAAAACCGTTAAGCCAGGGATGAAACTCTGAGAGCAGACTCCACTCCATAACTACTGGCTTCTTTACTTTGAGAAGGAACACTTCTCTGCTAGCAGGAACAAAATCCCTAGCTTCGATCACTACTCACAAATGTCCTTTAAGTAATTGAATGCCTCCATCAAGTACCGCAGATATATTCCAGTGCGGCAGAGGTTAACCAGATTCATAACTCCAGAAGATAGGAGGATTGAGCAGAGATCCAAATAACTCCAAAGCAGGACTGAAGTATAGCCCTCTCCAGCTAGACCTTGCAGGGACCTTGATGAACAGTGGCTTGAGGAGAGGGGTAGCGACCCCCCCCACCTGAACATGTGGAATCTTTTGCAAGAATACAGTGTTGTTCTGCCCCTCTATTTATACACCTTCCCAGCAACCATCTGTGCAGTCTCCCGTAAGGATTGGCTATTGACAGTATAAATATTCATGCTGTCCGTTTTCCTTGTTCCACATCTATATCCCAGAACATCCCAGAGTGTTCTGGATTTCAGGGAAGTGCAATCAAACCTACAGCCTGTAAAATACAGAAAACAATAATCACAAGCTGCTCAACTGTTTACAGTGGAGCCAAGAGCTACATTTACCTAACCTAGCACCTATATAGGAGGGTGCTACAAGTGCATTGTATATAATATACTGCATATTGTTTCACTAATCTTCGTTTAGTTATTATACACAAATGCAATTAGTACCGTTTAAGAAACAGGGACACCTATGCTATGTACCTATTGGTGTAATAGCAGACATCAACTGACAAGGGGAAAAAAACAACGGCGGCTTGCAGTGCTCACAGGGTGGAGGAGATGTAGGAAGTTCCGGGACTCCTGTGCGTATAGGGCAGAAGTGATGTGAGCTTGGGGCGGACTGCCTATACGGTACATCTCCTCAAGCCCCGTGAGCACCGCAAGTGCCGGTGGTTTTACATTTGACATGCAAGATATATTATGTACTTTTAACATGGCAGTTGTTATAACATTGATAAACTGTTTGCCCA